GAGAGAGAGTCTGCCCCCAATGGGAGAAGCCACCCGAGAGTCACTTGGACCGGCAGAAGGGGTGGCCGCTCTTGCGAAAGGGCTGTTTGCCCTGAAATTGTTGCCTGGGTCTAGAAACTGGCCTGTCAGGCTGTCTGTCCTGTCTTAAGGGGAAAGGGGCAGTTGGGATGGGAATAGCTGGGTCTGGCCCCTGCCCAAAAGGATTGTCTTCGTGCATAAGGGTTGGCTCATTTGTCGGAGCGTTTGATGAGATGGTTAAGGACCTTACACTTGTCCTTATTCTCTGTAAGGAATGGTTCAAGAGTCTCCCCAAACAGTTTTCCTCCCTGATAAGGGGCTGCTGACAAGCGCCATTTAGATTTGGCATCAGCCTGCCAGTGCTTTAACCAAAGCATGCGGCATGCAGTAACGTTTGATGCCATGCCGGAATCCTGGCTTGAAGCTATCAGAGCCAGAGGAGAGAGGACCTAGTGAAACAGGATGCAGAGGTGGTTGCTCTAATAGCCCACGCCACAGCTTGATGGGTTCTGCAGAACGTGAGCTCCCATCTGCGATCCTCTGCCTTTAGGACCTCAGATATATCGCCAGAAATGGCGGTGGGGGATATGAGGGGACCTAAGGGTTCATCCACTGCGGGCACCTCCATGGCATCGGTCAGGTCTTGGGCAACATTGAACAGCCTTTTCTCATTCTCGCTGGGGAGAGGAAAGGTGCCTGGGGAGGCCCACTGTTTCTGGACCACGTTTAGAAACATGGGCGGACAAGGTATATGGTGTTGGGTCGTTACTGGTTCAGTGAAGCCCAGATCCGCCTCTGAGTCTGGTGTGGATGTCATTGCCGATGTTGAGCGATCGGGTCCAATGTGAGCAGTGGAGCTGGCCTTGCGGAGCAGGGGAACAAAAAAGGAAGGGTTAAACAGATCGCCAAACTATGGCGTTTCTGGGGAAGTTTCCTCCTCATCAGACCATGGGGCCTCCAGTTCAACATCGTACTTGCGAGGAGATGAGACCTCGGTATAAGAGGACTGAGAAGGGGAAGAAGGCGCGTGGTAAGCCGCAATAGCCGAATGATGAATCGGGAGGGAAATGACCGAGTCTGGCCTAGGTGCTTGTGACCTGGCCTCAAGAGCCTGCTCTACTGCCTGTGCACTCAATGTTTTCAGGTGGTCTTCCGTGGGAAAGGATACCGGCTCTGCTGTCCTGAGTCCAGCCTCAGTGGGGGTGAAGGTGGCTTCACGGGCCGAGTGTTGGGTCCATGGAGCAGGAGGCAGAGAAATGGGATTTGCGCCGACTGGGTCACAAGGTACAGGAGAGGAGAGAAGTTCCCCTGTTAACCAGACCCCCTGGGAAGAGGTAGAGGGACCCAGGGGCAAATCGAAAGAGGGAGCTTCGGCTTGTTTATCCTCAATCCTGGCTTGTTTATCCTCAATCCTGGCTTGTTTTGTGCTTTAGAAAACTCTTTCTCCAGAGTCTGGTGTCTCCTGCTGGCCTGCTTTTCCGCCCTTTTGGAGGTCTTTGCCGCAGATCTGGTCTTGGCCTTGGCCGAAATCTTGCCTGTGGCCTCCTGATTGGAGGATTTGTGCCGTTTTGAGGCCGATGAAGTCGGTAAGACATCCTTTGTGGAAGTCATAGTATCCTCCATTCTCGTGGATAAACTCAGGTGCACGATAGGGTACCCCTGGTATCCAGATACCGCGTAAGCGGGGGGGAGGAAATCAAGAGCAGGGGACGTACTGGTCTCCCTGACCCCCTGGTCACCAGGCCGGTGTTATCTGACTGACCGGACGTGCGGGCAGGCGCGTGGTGTTGCCGACCAGCTACGTGAAGAATGGCAACACAGAGTGCGCGGTGCGTGGGCCTATGGGATGGCGAAGTCCCCTATGCGATGTCACAGTAGGTACTGCCTGCTTCTAGGTGACCAGGTATGGAGACACCAAAGCCTGGGCCTGAGGCCTAGATGATGCTGTAATTAGAAAGGTCTAATCCTGAAAGAAAAGATGTACCTAAATCTACCTGAAGAGTAAGTTCTGCTTACACCCTGGTGGTGATTGCTGGGCCTGCAGGCCTGAGTGGATTCAGCCTAGGTGCCTTCCAAAATGGCGGCCGTGCTGTTTCCCTTATATGACTGGGAAAGAGAGGGAAGAAAAAGGCAGGGGAGAGGAGAATCCAGCCCTCCGAGGGTTAGGAACGACCAACAAGGTAAGGAGGTCAGTTGTGGAATGAGGAGGAATCCCCCTCCCCCCTCCATGAGTGCCCCAAGCACACAAGAACAAAGGCCGCACAGTCCTCAAACTGGTGGCCGTTGAGGTAAGGCAGCCCTGTGCAGGCCTCAAAATGGCGGCCACTGACGTAAAATAGGCCTTGTGTAGGCCATAAGATGGCAGCCATATGAGGGAGTTACGAGCGGGGGTCTGTAGACAAGGGAGGCTAGTTGCGTTGCCTCCCCCATTCTCCCTTTGGGGTCCTTTGATTTTGGCAAAAAAACGGTCTGTGTACCTTTCTGGACACACGCTAGCCTCCAACGGCCGTTTTTGGTTTGCGTGTGTGTCCGGCTGTCAGGACTGCAGCCGCAGTCACTGACAGGAGGAGAGGCTGTAAATTGAAGGCAAAGGGCTGGGACAGAAGAAACGGCCCTTTTCGAACGCGCGCTGACTTCAAAGAGCCTGCGCATGCATTCAGCTTCGGAGCTGCAGCCGCAGGCTCCGGTAGGTAAAATGCTTCAAATTACTGTGAAAGCAGCAGAAGTGGCTCAAACGGCCGTTTTTGGCTCACGTGCATGTTCCGCAGCTAGAGCTCCAGCCCCAGTCTTCAAAGGAAGGGAATCCTGAAAAGCGAGCCTCAAAGACTAAGAAGGAGATGAACTGCAGCACTGATCCCAGTGCTGCCTGAAAAAGGGAAGGTAAACCTCCTTGCAGAGGGGAGACAGCTCGCCTCAGCTTGAAGCTTTTGTTGTGAAGGGAAGAGGAAAGGAAGCCTCTGTTCTTCAGGGAAGATGAGGATAAGATTATTCTGGAGAATAGTCAGGCTGAAAACAGTGCTGATTACAGCGCTGCTCAAAAGACTGTGGGAGAAAAGGAAAATCCACCAATGGGAAGTGTACCTACCTATGAGCCAAACTTGCATGTCTGTCCTGGGCAAGATCAAGTTGAGACTGGGGCACCCTAGCCCAGGACAGGCGTAGCAAGTTTGGCTGACTTGATCTGATTGGGCAGGAACACATTGGTGGATTCTCCATCTCCAGTGCTGGAGAACTTCTTGGGTCAGGGATATTCCATGTTTGTCTCTGAATGGAATGGCACTACCTCAGACAGACCTGGCATCAAAACTGGGGGGGGAGGTCTTCTTTGATTCAGTATTTGCTCAAAGATTAGGTGCCAGTCCTGGCTTGGAGGGACTTTGTACATCTTGTGCATCAGTTGTACCTGCTCCTGGCTTGGGAGATTCTATTCACAGTCACATGTGAACCTCTGAAGGTTAGGTTGGCCCTGACCCTGTTGGCTTTTCGGAAGGCCTAGAGACATGATTCTATGCTTCAGCCTGGGCTTCAAGTGTGTGAAGGGACCTGTCTCTTGGCTTTGTTGATGGTCATTGTGATTTTCTTGGCTGTGTATTTTAATTTTTCTATATGTATCTTTATTTGTTTAACACTGTTCACTACCTAAAGTCATTTGTTGAAATGGGCAGCTAAATTAATTAAATCATTAATAATTAAAATATTTAATGTTCTATAGAAAAGTTATAAAAATGGGAAGAAATATACAATTTTTCTGTATTATTACTCTCTAGGTGCCAAGGTAGTATTTCTTTTGAAAGAGCAAATGCCTCTCCCTTTTACTGGTTCTTCCTTTAATGTCATGGCATCATGCCTTTCTTAGCAAACATGTAGTTAGGGTCCATGTAAACTAGTTACTATTAATTCCTTTTTCTGTGCTGTAATGTTGGCGAATCATTAGCAAAGTGGACAAACTAATTTGGATAAACAGGTGATTTCCATTTTGGGGCAGGAATACCAATGTAACACCTATGGTATCTGTAGCACCTTAAACTACCAGTATTTTTTCCTGGGCTTTGTAAAATCCATATTATTAGTAAAATTAATCTGGGTCATAGTGCATTCATCCTAGTTATGCAAGCTTGCAGAGTAAGCTTCCTTTATCTTCTAGAAGTAGCTATTGCTGTGACTTTCTGATTACTGACAATGTGCCAGACAGTGACTCCGGTATTAGGTATTGGGCAGGTATTTAAAATTGTTAGCTTCCTTTAAAAAATATTATACCAATAATTTGACAGTTGTGAAATATCTAATAAATTGGGCTCTATACTGTATACACATATAAGGGACAGGTCTGTCTTTGTAGGCATATTAATTTATATTGCAGCACACCAAAAATGAAATTAATAATTAAACTGGAGAGAGTAAAAAGAAAGGCGCAGCAACATCAAATAGAGAAACAGACTCATCAAGGATCAGAAAAATGTTTGGAGCAGCATCTGAAATTCCTACAATATCTGAATAATGATACTGTGGGAAACCATGAGATTTAAGGAAGAGGAAAGGCCATCAGTTTCCTGTGATGGCTTAGTACACAAAGCATAACACTGAAACTTTAAAAATAAAAGATGAGCAAACTAGATGTATTTGACAAACTATCATTTTAAACATTCCTGGTTTATCATTATTGACTTCAGCATTATTGAGCTTAGTGTGATTCTCCTCAATTAAGGATTATATATTCAACAGCCAAGGACCAAACTATTTGTACTTTTTTGTTTTCATCTGCCAGTATGATTTGGCTCTGTGGAATATATCCATGCTAAAGTTCTCAATGTTCTGTAGAAAATAATAATTTTTACTTATATTAAGTCTTCAACATAAACGGATGCTATATAATTCGAACAACACATATTCCTGAAAGACAGGGATATTGTTTTGATATTTAGTGGAGATTTTAAAAAAGAAAATGAAGTTATGATCGTTTTTGACAGTCTTCCTCTTTGCAGGCAGTACATGCCATAGTACTTCACTCCCAACGCTTGTCCGGACACCAACCCTTGTGATGCAGCCCTCTCTGGATGTCAAATCATTTGTGTCCTTCCCTGTGGAGAGCAGTTCTGCTGTTGGGCTCTTCCCAAATTTTAACACTGTAAGTAAACAGTTTATTTCATTGGGTGTTGCTTTATTTGCTGTAAAATAAAATACATCCTTGTGTTATCAGTTGTGAACCTGTCTCACCGTACATTTAGTGCTAATTGAGGATGGATTTAATCTTGGGCACTAAATCAAAACTGAATCCTTAACCCATACATTGTTGGGCTTTCTGGGCAGAGACAATAATAAAATACTGAACTGAACCACACCTTTTGCAAAGCTTCTAATACTTTGGTGTGTGTCCCTGTGCGTGTGAGGGTACATGCTCAAAACAAGCTATCTAGTTACACCACACAGGTGGTTCTGTGTTTTTATTTGTTTTATGGCACTACCAAAATAAAAGACATTTACTCCTCACAATTAAAACCAGTCGGTCTCTTCTTTCCGTATAGCTGAAGAAATGTTTCTATTTCCTTTTATTTTGCTTTAAAATTATGAAACTTGATCAATTCAATAGCAGCCCGTCTTGGCTTCACAATGAAGCCATTTATTTTGCTGACCGGAAAGCGCACCTGGGTTGTTTGTAGAATGCATGTGTGTGAGAGTATCGGTGTTTCAGAGTGATAAGAAATCTTGGTTCCCTGGTGCTGCATTATGGAGTAGTTATTGGTTCAAATGCTATTATACCATCCAGTTCCATAATTTTTGCTCAGTTAATTACATACATAAGGTTTAATGTTGAATCTTGCAGCATAATTATATTTTAAAATCAGCAAGCATGTAAGAAACATTCCTGCCTAAACATGAATGTACTTTTGTTCTTGGCCTTGAATTCAAGAACTTCCCTTAAATCAGTGTGATTAGAAATCCACAGTTTAAAAGTATTTCAAATAATTGTATTTTCTATTTTTTTAGTGCATATCAAGGAACATTATAACATTAGGGTATCCTTGGAGATAAACAGATTAATTACTGTTCATTTAATGACTTGTCTTCATTTAACATTTGTAAATCCTGATTCAATCTCCTTTTTTTAAAAAAAAAAAATCCTATTTATCCTTACCTGATTTTTCTCTTTCTCCTTGCTCAGCTTCAGTTTCGTTCTTAATGTAGAATTTCTATCTTCTGCTTGCCCAACTTTTTTTGTTTGTTTGTTTGGGCTTAAATTCCATTCTCTAATAGTGCATCTTTCTTCTGACCATGGATGTGGTATTATGAATGATTATCTTTACTTTGGGCTCCTTCATATTATTTATTTCGTGTGTTGTTTGTATTTTCTGACTTTCTTCATAAATATTTTACTTTTCAGTGTGTATACTTGTGGGTTTGGATCTGGTTTTTTTTTGGTGTTTTTGTAGTCAAACACATGAAAAGCAGGATACAAAATGGATGAAGAAAAACTGTTTACTTGTTCTTATCTGGATTGTACACCTAATGTTGGTGCTGAATGACAGTGATACTTTTTTCCAGTCATTATATTAGTAAATACAATTTCTTTACAAATGGAAAATACTGCTTGACTTTATGGTATGTTGTTTTCATCATTAAAAAGATGTAGTGAACTCTAAATGTCTTCAGTATTATGATCCATAATACATTGCTGGTGCTCTTAAATTAGATCTCAAATAGTTTTTAAATATAACAGCATAGATCAGGCAATTTTACTGTGAACTTATATCATATGTGACTTAAATCCACTATCTTGTGTGTTTGTAGAGCCAGTATTCCTATGTTCAGACAATTCAGCAGGGACACACTGTGTAAATAATCAGCTCATAGCAATAAAAAGTCAATTTATGAATAATGCTGTCCGGCGAGTAACCCAGTTTGTTCATACATGATGCTTAAAACCATTTCAAAGCATTAAAGTTATTGTAATTTGAAAGGGAAAATTGGTATTATCAGCACTGCCAGACTGTGGGAGTTGAACTAGTGCCAGTTATTGCCTTTGCAAAGTTATCTGTGTGTGTGTGTGTGTGTGTGTGTGTGTGTGTGTGAGAGAGAGAGAGAGAGAGAGAGAGAGAGAGAGAGAGAGAGAGAGAGAGAGAGAGAGAGAGAGAGAACGAGAACACAAGAGATTCCTTATTACTTATAAATAAATTCTGCTGACAGACATTGCTTTCCAGTACAAAGCATAGCAGAGAGATCATAAGATAGCATTCCAATTTTGAAAACAGGCATAAAGTAATGTCTTTAAATATTCATGTACTCATTTCAGTGCAGCCAAAACTGAGAATCTGATAAGTATATGTCCCATAGTTATTTAACTACGGGTGACAGTTCATGGAGTGTTTCATAGCCTTTCTTACCTCAAAAATATTGTTGGATATTTGTGATGCACTATATTATGTCCTGCGTTTATAGTCCCAAGCAAAGCAATAGATAGCAGAAAGTAATGATACCATCAAATGTCATATTTTTCTGCTTTGTACTATGAATCTCAGTAGTTCATACAGCCGGCCTCTACCTTGAGACGAGTTTTGCAGTTCCCAAAAGTTCTTTTCAGATTTGAAGTTTAAATCCTCCTTTTCATTCACTTGTATAGTTACTTCCTTCTCTTTGCTGCTCTAACAGTGCAATAAGTTGGGCGCAATAAAGAAGGAAACTTTTTCTCATCCATTCCCCTATTACTATGCCTATGAGCCTGGTGGCAAAGAGCATCAAAAAAAGATAGGGTAGGCAGATTTCTGCCCCCTTTTCCCTTTTCCTCTAAAGCTAAAACAGCATGGTGCATAAATGTATGATGAATGAGAAGCAAGAGTGGGTCAGGTACAGTAGTTGGTTGGAAAAAGTAGCATAGAAAGTATGTTTTGGGTGTGAAAAAAGTAAAAAGATAACCTTTGGATTTTGATGCTGTAATGCAGGGTCCTCAAGCTATGGGCCATGGCCTCAGAAATGGCTGGCTGGTGCATGGATGCGTGCGTGCACTCCTCCCATTCGTGCTACCATCTGCGGCCCCATTTGCCCCATTTGCACATGCAGCGCCGGGCGGGTGGGTGCAGCCCATTGTGCATTCACGAACAGAACTAGCACCTGGCAGGTGTGCGTGGCCCATTTACGCGTATGCAAATGGGTCTGCTACCACTGGGTGTGTGTGCATGACCCATTTGCACATGCGCGAATGAGGCTGCTAGTGCCAGGCAGGTGTGGTGGCCTGTTTCTGCATGTGTGAACCGGGCCACTAGTGTCGCATCGGTGCACGCACACCATTTGCGTGCTTGCGCACACACCAGTTTGGAAGCTGCTGTCCTTCCCTCCGGGCTATGAGCCCAGGAAGGTTGGAGACCTCTGCTGTAATCCATCTATGACAGATCCAAAATTAGCTTGAAATAATGAATTATTTTTCAAATTTGATTGGAAATGATTAGAAACAAAAACTGATTTTCCAAATTTATTTCCAGACTTGATCATCTCAATATTGTCTGATAGCAGTCTCCCCCCCATCAAACAATTTAGATATAATAGGTACAAAACACATCTAGAGTGCTCTCTGTCTTTGGTAACTACTGCATATCTAATAACCGCCATAAGTTTCTTTAGACTGCCATGTTTTCCCCAACGTGGTCATATGGCAAGATCCTGCCCTGGAAAAATTCTAAGCTCCAAGCAGCTGAATTGTGAATTGCTTTATGCTGGCTTCCTGAGTTCTTTTCTCTTTAGATCCTTTCTCAAGTGGCCAGCTTTACCCCTTTTGCTCTGTGATGCAGTTTTACATTACCATCTGTGTGCCATTCTTAGAGCTTGAATAGAAAGCAAAATTCTATCTAGGCAGCCAATCAGGAGACGGGAAAAACAAAACTCCTACTGGTGCCCTATATCCTTGTTGTCTTACTCCATTTCTCTCTAAAACACTAGTTTTGCAGGAGGGAGGAGGAGGCAGGGTAAGCTGGCAATTCTTGCTAATATGAAACCATTCCTGCAGCTCTAGAGGAAACACTTCCCATATTCATGCATCAAGTCGTGTTTCCTTCCACCACTGTTCCCATTTTACTGCTCCCAACTTGGCCTCAGTAAAGTCTTGCAATTGTCTGTCTGTCAGGTTTCTAATAAATGGGGTACTTATGTTTGCTGATGTTGTCTCTTGCATTACGGATCTGGGTGCAAAGGCTATTTAGAGTCTTTCAGATGACTCATTCTGATTCCCGCCTCCTCCAGCAAAGATCTGCTTTTTATTATCTTTTTATCTGCTTTTTATCATTAAAGATACTGTATGTACTGCCCATCTCATTATCTCTGGGCAGTTTACAAATTACCATAAAAATCTATACGAATCCAGACAAAGTTAAAAAGCAAAATTAAATTAAAAAGATGGAACACTGTTAAGCCACCAGGCATCCCCAGGGTTGCATGCTACTCTGGATGCCCATGCTGACTGACAGAGCCAGGCTTTAACACTCTTTATCATTAATGCCAGTGTTATCATCTGCTAAATTTCTTGCCTGTATCTTTAATGTCTTCTTTCTTGTAGAGGTTGATCTATTGTATATTTACCTACTTATATATTTATTTATTAAACTGCCCAATAGCTACAACTTTCTGAGCAGTCTTATCAAGTGTAGAAGACCAGATTCACATGTTGAATTAAACTGATTTATTGCTAAAGGAATCTTCTCAACTAATGGTGGACAGTTGCTCAGAGTTAGATAAGCACCAACAGCATTCAAATTAGGCTGGACATAGTTCCCTTGTCGCTATGTAATGATTCTAGGTTGATTTCCCCCTTTTCACTCCATCTTCAAGTTCTGCCATTCCTTCTCCTGCAGCTTTACGATAAAACACACTAAAAATATAGTATGAATCCAAATATGCAATAAATGAAAATAAAACACCATATAAATTAGACAGCTATAAATCTGTCTTCAGTCTTCAAAGCAATATAAATAAAAAGGCAGTTATTTTTTTTTTTTTTTAAAAAAAAAAACTAATTCAAAAGCTGTGGAAAATAGAATATCTCCACCCGGCACTGAAATGACGGTAGTGTAGGTGCCAGTCAAGCCTCCCTGGGGAGGGAATTCCATAAAAGGGTGTTACCACAAAAGAAGCATTCCCTTGATG